TCAGACTGTGGTACTCTGTACCTAGGAAAATGAAGCCACAAAGCAGTATGTCCACTTTGCCAGTTTCATGGACTTGTACAGGACACTTGCTTTGTAACCAAAAATCTGTAGCTTTCTGGGTCCTGTTTTGGGCTCATGTTTTAAACAAGTTGTTGCTCTCACTATTATTTTTTTCCTCTCTTTCTCTCTCTCTCTCTCTCCAGAGGAGGGATTTGACAGGTACAAAATGGTGGTGCAGGTTGTGATTGGAGAGCAGAGAGGAGAAGGAGTAAAGTAAGTTTTTCATCTACTAACCATATTACTATCATTTCTATCGGATTAGGGTGGGATTTTTTATTTTGGAAGCTGCTTCCAACTTTCTTAGCTACGAAGATCACTCTGCAGATGATAAAGTGTAAAGCAGTTTCTTTGAAGTGGAAAGTGAGGGCTTGTACTGTGGCTGATTGAATTGTGCAGTGATAATTGGCTGTATGGTGGTTCTTAGCAAGCTGAAATGCTGAAAAGCATTTGTGAGGAGTGTTGCAGAAAGGCATTTTACGTTGCAGTCACGATGAGCTAGAGCACACACCCAGTCCATGCTCTCAAAGCCCTGCTGGAGCACAAGAGCCATGGTAACTCACTTCAATCTAAAGCTGTATTTCCTTAAGTACTTCATTTGCATTTAATCCCCCCAGGTAGGCATTTTTCAGAAGTTTAAATATCAATAATCCACATGCAATACTGTCCTGGGAATCGAGCCTGGGCTGTGGGTGCTGAGCACTTGCAGTCCAGCTCCAGATGCCTGCAGTCAGGCAAAAGATTTCCTCTTGGCTGCAGTAGTAGGCTGTAGCTTTCCATTACAAGTGAGTAGGGAGAAGACAGAAGAGCCCACAAGGTTTATGTGTTTTATCTGCTGGGTTTATCTTTATTATTGTGCCTGGTACTCCAGCAGAAGATAAATGCAGCAGAGCTGTAATCAGATCTGCTGCCTCAGTGGAGGCCAGGAAGGAGAGGCCAGGAAAGAATGTCTGTACCTGCTGCTCAGGATTTTGTCAGGAATGTCTGTCTGCAGGCAGACTGCTCCAGAAGCACCGTACCAGGATGAACAGTTCAATGAGGTGGTCTGATTTGAAACGTGAAGCCCAGCAACACAGACTGACAGAGCAATGGGGGAAATTCTCTGGTTTGCAATAGGCAGGAAGCAAGACTGAAGCATGATCGCTAATATTCTTAATACAAAATATTGGGTAACCAGAGTATTCCAGAGGCAGAGGGGATTACTGGACTGGAGGGGGGGAAGGTCAGAATAACCCTGAGAGGGCTAAGGTAATAGGAAAAAAAGGATGAAATTGAACAGTCTTCTAACAGTAAGTCATACTGTCATATAGGGACTAGGAACAACACACTGTGCCATAAACAGGGATCCAGTTAGCTGGGTCAGGCAGGGAGGTGGGCATTTGCAGCAGAGAAAGGGGAGTGTCAATGACATTAAACAAGGTAGCAGTGAGGTCTCATCTGTAATACCCCGGCATTGTTGTTCTCCTGGGATCGTTTTTCCAGTGTGCAAGCCAATAACATACAAAGTTGAGGTATTAGCTATTTATTAGCATTTCAGTGAAGGAAAGGGTGCTAACACACCCTGCATTGAAACAGTCATTCATTTATAAATTAGCATAATTAACATATTCATTATCACCTGTTTACTGGTGCTCATAATTCCTTATCTTGAAGCTGATTGGTGTAAAATGTCCTCATCTTCAATTAAAGGTACAATATCTCTTCATTTTACTGCACAAGCTCAGTGGGTGAGAGTCTTCAAGTGGAGGCAGGCATCCTAACTTCTAGAGGACTGGTTTTCGTATTATAATTAGTCCAGTTCATCTTCAGGACACATTTCAAGCAGAACAGCCAAGTTTCTTGGGCAATCAGCCCACTGACGTTTCTGCTACCTGGTTTTAGGTCTGTTTGTTCCTTCTCTCCCATTGTCTTGTCAAGAATCATTTACCCAAACGATTTACAGAGTTACAATCATAAAAGTTTCAATATTATTATGTTCTGGTTGCTTGTCTTCAAAGTAAGGCTTGGACTGAACCAGATGTAGAAAAAGGCCAGCAGGATGGTCAGGGAGCAGAGAGTACAGATATGAAAGGACTAGAAGACCTTGGCTCGTGGTCTAGTAACACGACGTCTGCCAAGGAATACGATAGCTCCCTATAAATAAATTGGGAGCATTTACCACGAGGGTGCAGGAGGTGAAGGACAAGAACAAATAAGCTAATTTAGCCGCCAATACGCATAGGCCAGAAGTCAAATATTCTTAAGCAGCATAGCAATGAGGTTTCAAGCTCTGCTGCACAGGGCGTGTGGCAGGGTTGGTAGCTGATGAGTTCGAAAATGGAGCTTGACCCACATACAGAGGGGGTTACAGCACGTGGGGGAGTTCAGCAGTGGGGATCTAGGCTCAGGATTCAGGAGAACGCTTTATCTTTGAAAGAAGCTCCGTTTGCTTTTCGAGGAGAGTATCTGTGGTCACTTAGGTCCCTACACATGAACTCTGTGGGTAATGGCTCCGCTCTGTCTCTTTGTCTAGTATGGCTGCGCGCTGTTTCTGGGACGCTGACACTGACAGCTACGCCCACGACGTGTTCATGAACGTAAGTATCAGCTGGGTTACCATCATAAAGTGTACAGCTACTTGCTTTTGTATGGGGAGTGTGTCCACCTGCAATGTGGAGCAGACAAAACCCAACCACCAGAAGGAAGGAACCAAGACTCTATTGAAACAGTGTGATTTACGTCCTCATTCACAAAACTTACATACAATACCCAACACAGTAAAACTTATTTCCTGAGTAGGTCATGCAGTAAGGTACAAAAGTCATTATAGTCACACCATTTTACAGGTGGGGAGAGGAAGCACAAGAGATAAAGTCCTTCCTTATGTGCTTTGCTGACCTGCTTCATGCAGTATGGCTGGAATCCAGGACTGAGCAAAAGCCAAGGTTTTATTTCATTATTATCTTATTTTTATTTTATTTTAAGCTGACACCTAGACACCTGCAGGTGTGTGGATGGAGTAAACCGAGGCACTCCTGGCATTCAGACACACTGACCTGAGTTTACACCACAAGTGAGGTGAATAAGAAACTAACTAAAAGACAGAAAATCACAATATGTTACAATATAAGGTTATGCTCTGGTTTAAATGCTCCCTTAGGTTACCCTTTTCACTTAGGCTAGGAAAGAGATTTCCTTTACTAACCCAGAGCCTTTCTCTGTTTTCCCCAGGACAGCCTGTTCTGTGTGGTAGCTGCATTTGGGTGCTTCTACTATTGAAGACGGTGAAGATTGCCCAGGACAGAGGTGGGGGAGAACGCTTTAGGGTATTTTTAGTTAACGTGCACAAAAACCATCATGTTCTTTCTTTAGTACCTAACAAAAAAACAGCTGTACAATGTCCTGCACCTGTTCTACACACTACAACATTCCTCCTTCCTTGTGGATATTGATATAGCTTTAAGCACAATTGTTATTATGTCCTTTATTTAAATCACCTTTTGTTTTTATATAGCATATTGGTTTTGTCTAAAACAAGTGTATTGCTGGTAGCCCTTGTTTCTAAGGCAAACTCAACTTTTGTCTTGAAAGGGTTCAGTTGCTTTTATTTTTGTTAGTTTTCTGAAATGAACGAAATATTTATAAGAAATGTAACATAATAAATCCATGTATTTCACATTTCCTCTCCTGTGGGTTGACCAGGCTGCCATTGCCACCGTTGTTCTTTTCCTTCCACTCCACAAGATGCACTATCCTTGACTGCTTGTCTGTGCTCCTCAGACGAGTGTTTTCCGAGGATTCTTTGTAAATTAACCCATAAAGCCAACCTCATATTCCAGTGTCCAGAGTTGTTCCTGTGAATCCCATAACAATTGGGCTGTGAATTCCAGCTAAGTGTCCCACGAGATGATAGTAACTGATAGGAAAGCAAAGTATTTAGGACATCAGGTCAGGCCAGTAGCTCGCACGCCCACTGACGGCCATGACTCCTCCCTGCTCTGCACCAACCTCATTGGTTTGGTGCAATTTGGCACCGTGGGCACTGTGAGTAATCACTGCTCGTTGCCCTCTTCAGCAGATACTGCAGTGTTTTCTCAATTTTCTCAATCCTTTCCTCTCTGTAGTTGTCTTGGCATACGAGGGTGAATGTTTGGAGCCCAAATTGGTCAGGACTCCAGCCTCAGAGAGGAGCAGTAGAAAAGGCTGCTGTAGATTAGAAAAGGGGTGCTAAAGCCTGTCATCTCCCCAAAAGTTAGAGGACAGGGCTGGTTCCTGAGAGAGTGGGTGCCACCAGAGTGCATCTCCAGTGCCCATCAAAAGATGGGATGCACTGTTTTGTGGTGATCATAGAATCATAGAATGGTTTGGGTTGGAGGGGACCTTAAAGATCATCTAGTTCCAACCCCCCTGCTGTGGGCAGGGACACCTCCCTGCTGTGGGCACGGGGGTTGGAACTAGATGATGCCTCTTCTCTCTGTGCTGGCTGAGGAGGAAGCAGAGCTGAGTAATTCCAATGGCACGAATGGCTTTCAGAGTGCGCCAGTTGGGCGAGGTGAATCCCGAATCCGGCTGTTAGAGCAGAACATGCTCTGCCCCTGCGGCTCTCGGAAAGCAGGGGCATCACAAATTACGATGTACCTTCTAGAATAGCTCTTTTGGCTACAGTGCCAGAGGCAGCATGCTCCTGTTTGTTTATTGTTTGTTCAAAAGTGGTTTCCTCTGATTTTCCTCTGATGGGAAACAGAGGGTGGCTTCCCTGGTTGCTGCCTGTGGCCGTGGCTCGCTAAGGGAGCCGCAGAGGGGATGCAGTCACGCTGTGTGGTTTGTGCGTGAACCTGGGAGAGCAACTTTTGGGGAAGAGCAGAACCCTCCACACTGACACCTGCCAGGAGGCGGCACCTGCCCTCCGACTCTTGTTGTCACTCTTTTCTCAAGTCACAGCCATTCCACAAAATTGCCGAAGAGTTGGAAGGGACCTCTAGAGATCATCTAGTCCAACTCCCCTGCTAAAGCAGGATTGCCTAGAGCACCTTAAATCACCATTTTTCACCTTGCGCTCGCTCTGTACCTGAGCCGTTGAGCAGCTGTTTCCCAGAGCCGTTGTACAGAGCAGGGTTGAGCCTGCCGTGACACCGGGTCCGCTCGGGGGGTGCCCGGCTGCCTCCTCCCGCACCCCCCGAGTTCATATTTGGCGGGTGAAGGGCCGCAGGGCGGTGGGTTCCCGCAGTTAAACCCGCGATGCGCGGAGCCCCGGGGGAACCCTCCATCCTCCACAGGAGACCGGGCCCCGTTGGCAGCCGGAACGGAGGTTGCGGGCGCGGTTTCCCGGGGCGCGGCCGGTCCCTTCCTGCCGCCCCGGCCCGACACGCAGCGGCTCCGCCCGCCGCCCCGTTGGCGTTGGCGGGAGCGGGGCGGGGCCGGGAGCGGCTCCGGCAGCGGCGGCGGGGCCGGGCCAGGCTGCGGAGG